ATCTTTGTATTGAAAAAAGTTGCGCGCCGAGGACAACGCCGCCTTGGAAGCCAATTTTTGCCTCGACGCGCACGCTTTAGCCCTTTTCCGGTGAGCACATGTTTTCGCTGTTTTTATTTTCGACCCACAATGAAGGCGAAAAGGCAGAGGGGCCGGGGGATTCGTGCACTCGCCGAACGTGGCTGGAAGCATTTCAGCTTGGAGAAAAGCAAGTCAATTGGAACATCTGACTGTGAGCAGTGTTTTATGTGCGTGTAAGACGCCGTGAAACTACTCTTCATCCTTTGCGCGAAAGCTGCCACCGAAGTTCACAGTGTGTTCCGACCTCTGACTGTGCGGGAGCTATCTCTCCCAATGTGTTGTGTATGCTTTGTGTGCACCCACCACTACGGAATACAACAGTTCTCCATCAAAAACACTATTGCACAAGCTGCGTGCTGTGTTAAAGGTATGGACGCGCCGCCGTAGCACCGTGCTTCGTTTGCACAAAAACGCGGCAAAAGAGCACCTTTTGAAGCTGGCCACTCGAGTCCGTGCATTTCGCCAATGCTGCATATAACCGGAGTGTAAATGTATATATAATCATCACCGTCGTACATTCAGTGAAGATGGTTGTGTCCCAGCACATATGTAATCGCGAAGGCAAGGCAACAACAATCGTGCGAAGCAGACGAATAAAAAAATTCCGTGTTCTCTCGACAAACACGAGGTTTCCCGAAAAGGCGCCGCCAACGGGTGGCCGTGTCACTGCTTCATTTTTTACGACGCCGGCGTCGACGTCGACCACAATGCACGTTTTTTGCTCAGTGTGAATGCGCCTTAAGGGTTGCAGTCAATGGCAAACTGAGCATAAAAAACGCTCACCGCTAGGTAGAAGAACACAGTTTTACACACTGTGCGTAACGTTTCCCGCCACTGCACACAGCTCGGAGAACACCCTGTGCTGCCCATTTGGGGATCTGTACAGCGAGCCAAGAAGCAGTTTCCTGCTGCGGCAGTTAAGTTGGGTCCAGATTATTTCGGAGTTAGGTGTTTCCAAGTCCGCATTGGAGAGAATTCATGTTATACTGCGATTAAGACCCCACCACTGCATCCTTTTCGGTCCTCTTTTGAACATGGTGAACTCGAGACCAAATATTTCGTGATCCGGAACAGAGTCGGGAAGCCTTGTCTCACACACACACAAGGCGTCGTATGGATTGCCGGTCAGGTCGGACTGGAGTTGAAGGATCTTGTCTAGAAGGCTTGGTGCATTAAAGCATTGCATGCGGAAGGGCCCGGGGTTGCAGTCCACATCACCAGAGAGCAGTAGAAGCGGCATGACGTTGAAAACATCGTTGGGGTGGAGGGTTGTAGCAATTGTAAACTTAGCAAGCTGCAGCGTGCTTTTGCCGCAGCAATCCTGGACGGTCGGTCAGGCTCACCTTGCATCTCCACAGCGCTTGTTTTGGAGAGAGTTATACCCTGGCAGTTGCAGTGCAGAAAGAAAGCGCACAACATATCAGAGATCACAGGAGCTCGGCGCAGCTGCCTTGCCGCAAGCGGCAGACGCAGTCATTGGCCAGCCATGTATGAATTTTCCAATGCCGATCAGAAAGCCCCACAAGAGCATCTGTGATGGGGAAGCGACACCAGGTGATGTTACGCAAGCTTGCCCGGGGAGCCAACGGCTGATCAAGAGGATGGTGACCTGGTCCAGATGAAGGAACATATCGGTGGAAATGGCCAGGGTTCGCTCGTATCATGCATTCCCTGCAGGCTCGATATATGAACTTGAAATACCGATTATTGATGGAAATATCAAGAGCGATCTTATAAACAATCTTGCGGGGACTTGCTCTTCTTTTAGCAGCTAGAAGAAAAAACAAAAGTTATACATCATCAAACAATGATTTCGGAACATCATAGGTTAGTTCCGACAGCGATGATTCTTCGAATCAGCCGGCATCATCGGTGACTATGTGTCGGTAAGACTTGTTTTAATTTTGGTTTTCACTTTATTCGCTGGTGCTCGAACAAATGCCTGAGCTAAAAGCTCGGGCATTTTGTCCTTGTTGCCAATGCCTCTGGTGGTTAGGTCGGACACCCTAGTTTGAATTTTGTACAGTTATTTCCTTTCCCACGAGATGGCAATTTATTATAAACAATAAACAAACACCCAGCCAAGGAAAGAGTGCCCATAGGAGGAAAAAGCGATGCTTCTGGCGTTTGAAACGTCTGGATAACATCTTTATAAACTAAAATGGACCTGCGTGTATCTGAATTCTCTATATAGAGGGGGAAATTAGTGACGCCCTGCAAGGCACCAGACTTGTTTTACTACGGTTCTTGAGGTAAAAACAAGTATAGAGCATTTAGTTTGCAGCCTTTTTTTCTATTAAAGTTTGGCATATTTTTTTATATTGTGGAATCTTTTAGGGGCTCTCAGTTTTTGTCGAGATAACTGCATATCTTTTTCATTTTTGTTGCATTGGCCAGAATAATTTTGGTTTTCAGAAATTAAATTTTGCATAATTTATTAGGCTCGTATTTTATACCAAAAAATTCCATTATAAACTACCATCCAAAATGAAAAGATAAATGGTGAAAAACATGGGGTGGGCTGTTTTCGGGGATGTGACAGCAAAACTATGAAAAAGTAATGATTAGCACCAGGGCACTCGCTACAAACCACCTGACACGGGAACTGACGCCGCAGACACGGCACATTTGCGTTTCACGGCGCGATAAACACGCGGGAATTCGCTACAAACTCCCGTGTCACGGGAAAGGAGGTTGCGGCCACAGCAGATTCGTGTTTCAAGGTGCGAAGGACCCGCGGAAACCCGCCGAGAACTGGAGTGTCACGAGCCGTAGCAACATCAGGCGGCTGTAGCAACATCAGGTAGCAAACGATGGCATACTATGAATAAAAGAATTAGCCGAGCGTGGCTTGGAGGCATTTCGACCCCCGTACGTGCGTCCAGATTCTCCGGGCCTTGAGCCTGATAGACGACCGAACACGATCGTCACATGGCCCGTACTGATATCCCATCCGCAACGAGATGCTGCGTTCGAGGGGACTCCAAGGGAAGAGCCGACTCATTTGGAGGACTTTTCTGTCCGAGTTGAGGACGGACTTGGGCGTAGTGCACTTTGCGTAGTTTGAGGGCTGCCGGCTACCGCGGCCTCGACGTTAGGACGACGGAGGGGGGATCTGGTCTGGCAGCTCGCGGAAGACGTCAGCTTCCAGGCGGCTAGTCTGTCTTTAAATGGCAGTGCGCCAGCTTGAGGGGCTCAAAGTTAAAATGTTTGTGCTGTGGCACCATGTTGTCCCAGTAGAAGAGGTACGGGTGAAGGTGCCTGATTTTATGAATGTAGCACTGGGACAGCACCTATGAGTGTTGGACGAGTTGTCAAAAATCCTGTCTCAAAGCCCGCCGGGCTTTTGAGCCAGGAATGGCTGGCAAGGGCTCGAGCGCAGGAAGTTGGACCGCGGCGGTGGTGGTGGCAGAAGGTCCAGCGGTTGGAGAATGGACCAGAAGTTTGGAAAGGGCGATGGGCAGAGCCGTGGCCAGGGTGACATTAACGGAATCGGAGGTCGCATTATGGGCGTCGTAGTTGCCGAAAGAACACTCTCGGGGATGCTCACGGAGCAGTCTAGCGGGTCGCTTACCAGGCTGGCTGGCGGGGAGGGCGGCAAGAGCCTCGGTGAGAGGCTCCAGGGCTGCGGAGAAGCTGTCAGTGACCGATGCAGAAAAGGCTGTGGTGTCCGCGATTGCCGAGATGTTGTCGGGGGCCGGGAGTGGCATGGAAGGAGCCGAAGTGGCCGCACATTGTTCCTTTCCTTTGTGTCTCCTGTCTGGCATGGCCTGGAACAGAAGCTGCTGAAATCTTCCTCGCTCGTTTCGAAAAAAAAAGACTGGTCTCAATAACGAAACAACCGACAACCGGAGAGTTTCCTCTCTGATGATTGGCACTGTTCCTTGGAGCCACAATCAGACGCAGACTTTAGGTCTAGCCACTGATCGTTCCAAACGAAGCTCGGTGTTCCGACGTCTCTGTGCATCTTCTCCTCTGCCTCTGTTTCTCGGCGCACACTGCAACAAAGTTTAGAAGCAAATGTTTTTTGGAGAAAGAAAAAGAATACTGGGACCCTCCAAAATGGGCAGTTTTCCCATGGTGAGGAAAAAGTTCATGTTCCGAGCTTTTTGTTTTCTTTGCATTCTGCTGTATCTGATGGCCATTCTTGAATCGTTCTCAAACAATGTTTCTGCCAGAAGGAAGGCAAGTTGCTCTCACTTCTTTCGCAAGATTTGGCCAACGACGACTGCCAATGCAGTTCGTTGAGATCTGACCCGAACATAGACATTCTGACAGTCTGTGGAGCGACCGTCTGAACTGTCGTGCTGCTGGCAGCAACATTCTTAGATCTACAAGTGCTCCACGGAAGAGCAGCGTACGAAAGCGGTTCTTCTTCGTTGCCTGCAAGCGAGCAGGTACGTGCGGACGACGTCCCTAGTGCCACTGGCGTCAACGCCTCCACGGACAACAAAGAAGGATGGTTTTTGAACGACACTTTTTTTGTGGAAACTTAATTTTTCTCAAAAACAATGTAATCACTTTTCACCGCAGCCAATGTGCGTCCAACGTTCTACCGGTTCCGCCGCTTCTGTCGACAGGGCAGGCTCATGGTGTAGCGAACGCCACCTAGAACGTGCCAGGCGTTCTAGGAAGCTTCACTTTGATCTTGGGGCGTTTTTTAGGTAGCAACACACGCCCGACAAACCTCTAAGAATAGCTTTCATCAAAAACACTTTTCGTTTAGAACAAAAATTTTCAGAAATGGGTGTTTTTCACTTTTAACCGATCTCATAGTTGTCTCACCGACGAATGTTTATTGGTTCGGTTTCAGCCGAATATTTGGCGGCAAAATGAATAAGTGTTTCGCAAACAACCTAAATAGCAAAAAGAACTTGCAAGAGCCAGAACGTTTATCTTGAGATGGGACCCTCTCGCAGGTGCCTGCCGGGGCCTCTCGACGGCGGAGGAGTGCAGCGCGTCCCAGGCCGAGGTCCAGTGTGCGTGGATTGCGGGCAGCTGCCAGCCGCGCTCGGACAGGGGACCGGACCGCAAAGGCTGCCCCCGCAAGTCCGGTAGGGCTCCTTTTCCTCCCTCACTGTCCATCGCTCGGTTCCAGTCTTCCCTGCCAGCAGAAACATTTCTACAGGACGGGCATCGGCTGTTCGACACTGTCCACCATTTTGCAGAACAAGCGAGGCATACTGGATGGGTTCGAATTCGAGAAGTTTTTGATGCAAGAGAAGCCGCACCTGCGACTTGAAGATGAAAGATCGGAGGCTGCTTCGCGCATGTCGGATTTTCTCTTGCGAGGATGCTTGCCGAGCCTGCGCACGATTTCCATAGCTGCAACAATCTCTACAGGAGTGTGTGAAAACATATTTGCAAAGCCACCGAGGATAACGTTTATTCGTTCGCACTTGTCGATGTGGACGTTCCTGTTCCTCCTGCCACGGAGGCCGCGATCGTAGACCTTGCATGCGGCCAGGGTAAACGTTAAGCGACGTCGGAGAGGCACCTTTGGAAACACCGATGACTGTGGAGACGCGAAACACCCTACGGCTGCTTTGAAACAAAGTGGAGTGCAGCAGAGGTGGTAGTGTTCTTGCAATGCCTGGAGCATTTTGAGGAGAACTGATATCCGGATAAGATTATAGGCAAACCCCACTTTATTATTTCTTTTACTCGGTAAAGCTGCCACGAGTTGCTCATAACCGAGGTTTATTCGATCAAAGATATCGTCAGAGTGTTCCGTAGTGTTCTCGTTCACCTTAAAGGCTGCTGTCACTGTTTTTTTGGCTCTCGCTTTTATCAACTTACTGCTTACATCGAACTTTTTTCCATCCCATTGACTTCTTTATAACAAGAAATTACTGTAATATAAAAAAAAAACACACACACACACACAAAAAGGACCAAGTGAGAGAAACACTCAGGAGAGGAGTATGTTTCTCTGGATTGGTCCTTTTTGCGCTTTCTTTCATTACGTCAAGCTATTGCTATTTGACGTCGAGTTACATGACGGCGCAGTATCACTCGAGGTCATTTCACAGGATTGCACATGGCCTTGAGAGTCGCAGGCACCTTGTGACTCGTACAGACATCATTCGCGTGACCTCGTAGCCTGCTGTTGCCGACGGCGTAGGAACCGCTCGATGTAGTGGATATGACTTGGCTTTAAAAGCGGTATAATGGACAAAGTGGGCAGTCTTCCAAGCTCTGCCGGTAATTAAGTGGGAACTGATGCGGGCATACGGGGTGCGTGCAGCGGCCAACCTCACGGTGCTGTGCGAGAAGCAGACCTCCTGCCCGAGCTGCCTGCAGAACAACTACAGCTGCGTCTGGTGCGGCACGGCCTGCGCCCACAAGCACTGCCCCAAGGGCTCCAAGGTGGGTCTCCCTTCGTGTTGCCTTTGCCGCTCGTCTAGTCCTCAGTGGACTGGTGTATGCGAAGAGCTTATTTTACCCCCTCCCCGTTCGGCTTGAAAGCGGATGGTGGCGTCGAAAACACTGCGGTTTAGTGATAAATGAATTTATTTGGCTACGTGAGGTGAAGTGACGAGCCTCTCACAAACCAGCCCGAAGCCCGTCATGAAGGCTCGAGCTCTTTGTCTGCTTTGTCCCTTTCTAACCGCGTATGCGACAATTTCTGCCCATTCTCGCGTAAAATACACGGACAAAATGTATGCCTATGCTACTACAAATAATAGAGTGCGAAGAGGCCATATTCCTCATTTTAGCACTCTCCTAGAGTCACTGAATGTTCCCCGATTACCGAAACTTTCAAGCTTTGTATTGGAACCGAGTCACAGCACAGCAGTCGCGCTCCAACCCAGCTCCAAAATGGCGCTGTCCTGGTCGGTCGAAGTAAGGTGCGTAGTGTGACGTTCGTTCTCGACAAGCTGTTCAGTCCACTTTCCTGGTCTGTGGCGACACTGGTTTGTTTTAATGTGAAAGGATTAACTGGTCCCATAGAGCGAGCAGACGTCATCAGTTGGAAGCACGAAAACGGCACCTAGTTTCCCTGATCCCAAAGGTCCCATTGGCTGGCGCGCGGCGACGAGGCTCCCATTGGCCGCTGCGCGCGTCAGTTTCAACGACTGCCGCCAGAGGGCACTGCGTGTTTGTGCCGCCAGCACGCTGATAAAACTAAACGCCGCAACCCCATGCTACTACGGGCCCCGTGCCGGTTAAAACGGACACATTGGGGCGCGCTCAGAGGCTTCTGCTCGTCTCGCCGCCGACCAGCATGCCGTCGCCTCTAGCATCCACATCGTCGCCTGTGCTTCTGCCACAACTCGAAAACATTACTTGCGCCACGAAATTCCGCGGATCACTCCATGGCATTCCATTGGACGTTCATGCTTTCACATTCACAACTCATAAGAAGTGCTTAGGTGTCTTCCGACTTTTTTTTATTGAAGTTCTTTCCTTCATTCCGAGCGATGCCTGACTTGCTCCTCTCTGTCTCTTTCTCTCGCCTCGAAATATTAAAGTAGAGTGTTAGGCTTAGCGTCTGAGGCGTAGTTTTAGACGCTAATGGAACACGAGTCTCGGCCAAATGCTGATGCAGCACTCGTGCCCTCGCTAATGAGTTTTGGGCAAACAGTGTCAGCACTGGTGTCCAATTTGTGCCCTACACTATAGCCTCTGGTGACTTAAAGAAGATATAGCAGCATAGCTCACTCACACAGTTGGCTGTGTTCCGAATGCAACTCGAGTAGATCCTCCTCTAGGTCTATCACCTGATTACACGAAAAGAGAGACGCTGGACACGGATGTTTTTGTATGACGAGGTATGAAACGCTTAAGGGGGGTAAATTTGGCCCAAGTGGTACAACCTCGAGGCACCGCGTACTTGGTACGATGCATGCCAAGTTACTCCTAGAATTCTGAGCTTGGTGCCAAGTACGGACGTCTCAGCGAGTTGTGGTCATAACATTACATAGTGAGAAGCTTGCCTCTATATAGAACGTGTGCAGCGAGCCCACTCGCATGTGTGGGGCAGGAGGGAAGGGAGCCAGCGCAAGCTTGCCAGGAAACGGGGCTCAGAACTGGGGTGTGCGCGAGAGCGCTGGCAGAGTTCTTTCTTTTTCAGAGATGCCGCACACAATGATGTATGTGCCCTCATAAAATGCGTAACAAGTTCCTCCGTGCAATAATTATGCATCACCTTTGTGACGATAGTGCAAGAAAGAATGAATGCTTTTTTGAAGACCAGTGTCTCCCCTTAAAGGGATAATGAACATTGAAATATACCTCTCGCATTCAGAAATAAGTCAAACACGATCAACAAAATCTGCTAATGACAATCGCACATTTGCATTTCAAACAGATGATTATATTTTTTGTTCCAAATGGCCGATTCCAGCGAGCGCTCGCCACTTAGTGGCATCAACGCGTTACAACCGTTGGAGATGCCCGCTTTCCGCAGGAGCTTAATAGGTGCGGGAGAGAAGGGGTTCGGCCAAGTTGGACAGGGCTGGAGTGCACAATGTTTGCCACAGTACTTCTGCTGGGAGGCGCTGCTCTTATAGGAAGTTTGACATAAGGACTTTTGAGAACATCCCCCAAGTGCAACCTGGTAATCGGTTTATTCATTTTAAATAATGTTTTGGTGTATTTCCGAACAAAAGATTGGTTGGTGCCTATGGGGTGTGGCCTGAATGTGGTTGTCATCTAGACAATAAAATAGGTGCTAGACTATTGGAGTAGCCCTTTAATGCAACCAGTGCAGGGCTGTGCCGCTGGGATCGATGAGGAGTGCCTGCAAGTCCGGAGGGAACTTCTCAGAGATGCCTTACCACGGAGGGCGCTGGAAACTGTGTCTGATTTTTCCTCATGGCGCACGCATAGACCGCTAGCTTGGGACAAAGGCAGTCGGCTCTGTGGTAGCAAGTGTGGCTAATTGCTCGAAGGCTTGTTTGCCGGCAGGTCTAGACTTGTTGGAATACGTACAGAATGTGTTTTTTAGCAGGCGAGCGTTGGATGGCGAGCAAGCGAAGGTGTTTGAGAGGAAGATTGGTAAACGGCACGCAGGGCCTGGTGGATGCCCGGGAGAACCAGACGGACGTGGACCAGTGCCAGCAGTCGGAGAGCAGCAACTGCGACAAGCTGCACAACTGCCACGCCTGCCACACGGAGTTCCACTGCGGCTGGCAGAATGACCACCGCTGCTACACCTTCGTGCGGGAGTCAGGTGGGCTGCTGACGCACCAGGCTTGCCTCTAGAATGAGGCAAATGTTTGGCTTTGATGCTGCGATGGTATACAGCCCAAAGGCATCATTGACGTTATGTGATTGCATTTGCGCCAAACTGCACCATAGTGCTTACCCTGCTGCTAGGGCATTTGTGAGGGCTCTAACATTGCGCAAAACTTGTTTTCACTTTATTAATACTAAAATTACGATAAGTCGGGCTTTGCTATACGGCGGCATCTTACGGTAGGTTCACTGTGGTTTTCTAAACTTTTTATTTTTGTCTCGAATAACGGCATATTGATTTGATCTCTCTATCAAATATTGTCAGTACTGCAAGTTTCACACTTTTTCTCATGTTGGTGGTCTGTCCTGGCTGGTTAGTTAGCTTCCTTGAGCTCGCTCGTCACCGCACACTGGTTTACTGCAGCGAAGCGACAACTGTAGAGCAGGCACTGCAATTTTGTGTACGTGCTCCGTTGCAGCGCGCCTGCGTGCCAACGGGAAAGCACACCTCTAGAGTGTTGCACACTATTTCTGAATAAAACTGGGGCTAGTATAGAATTTATTGCTCTTATATATGTTTTCAATGGCACAGTCAAAATGCTTGGGAAGAACCTTATCGAGTTTGGCATTTTTTTTTTTTAATTAAGAAGGCATATTTATTGTTAATAAGCTGGTTTTTGTTATCATAAAGTTGCACATATAAAATGTCATTGACATTAACCAAATGACGAAAGTTCTGCTTTCTCTCTGAATAAAGAGCTGCATGTTTATCTTGAGAACTTTAAGGAAACATCAACTTGGGAGCTCCAGATTATTCTACTATTCTAACATTATTTTAGTAGAATACAGGGATGTCCCAATAATATGGACACCTCCAGGCTCCCCAAAAAGCGTACATAATGTGAGTTGTCTATAATAACGAGAAAAAAAAATGCATGTACTTACTCATTTCGTACCCAAAAATAGTTACCATGTAGTGGGGTATCCATAGTAACGGGGTTCATATTAACCAGACATGACTGTATACTATTTGGTATACGTTTGATTTTGGACCTAAAATAATTGTTGATAGCAGTTGGTTCCATAAATTGTTGCCATGCCCCGTACTAACTCGACAGCTAGCTGGGGAAGCAAACGTGCCATGCAGTTGATGCTATCAAATGGTTGTACAGAAGTGGGAAGGCAGAGTAGACAATGTTTTTTAGTGACCAACATGAATTCTTAACATGATATTTGCACTGGTACGAATAAAAGGGAAGTGTGTGCTTATGCTTCAAAAGTTGTTTTTACTGCTTCAAAAGGTGCTGCAAAATGACTAGAACCAATCAGATCGCTGTAATGGGATCTTGCATTCCCATGTCACCGAGTGATGTGATGTCAAGAAGTCATATGGCGTCGCCTGGTGTCACGTGATTTCACGGTTCGTGGTTAGGGACTCGACGTCTCGACTGTCACGCTGATGACGTGAACACCGGTGTTAGTGCATTACGGTGAACCTTTCAAGGTGCCGCATGGCGTCATCATCGAGGCTACATGTCAGGGAGATGAAAGTACTCAGTACTAGGCATTTGGGGAAAGCCCGGCTCTTGTAACATTTTCATTGCCACATCTGCTGCTTTTGACCACAACTACGTCGAGTGTCTGAAGTACAAGCTGGGGTGTGAGCGGATGCTCACACCCCAGCTCCTTGGAATGATTCCGGGCTTCTATTTGGGGGTTTCGGAATGGCTCGAAAGGAGTCTGGCGACCTAAATCTGCTATGAGGCGCGTAAAAAAAAAAAAAGCTTCCCTGGGAGTTTGTTGGATTAGCCAAAAGAGTTGGTGGAGTGGAAACTGCCCATGAAGTCGCGGAGAGAAGTCCGTGGGAACCGGTTGGGTGACGTGGGCGGGCGTGGGCACAGGGAACAAGACGGAGAAGGCGGTGCTGTCGGACAACTACCGGGTCAAGTGCGACAACTCGTGCAGCTCCCGGCCCACGTGCAAGGCCTGCGTGCTGGGCAGCTGCATGTGGTGCATCAGCCAGCAGCGCTGCCTGGAGACCAATGCCTATGCCGCCACCTTCCCCCTGGCACAGTGCACCGAGTGGACCACCACCAAGTGCTCGGGTGAGAACACGAGAATCCTACATCGGGCAACCCGGGTTTTGGGCAATCTAGAACCAATATGGTTCTAGATTTTAAAAGAAAAAAAAAGTAACGCTTGGCAACGTAATTGTCGGGCTCTGTGAAGCGAGAGTACCTTCGGTTTTTTTTTAATTGGATTTAAGCGCAGTTCGAGTCTCCTGGTACTTCACAAGTACGGCGGTAGACTTGCGGATTCATTTCTTAAATTTGATTTGCATCGCGTTGTTCGATCCACTAACAGAACTTTTTGGCCGGTCGTGACGAGCCTTTGCCTACCCGAGCCCGGTGCAGAGCTGTCTTGCCAGGTAGTGAAGTTCCGTGTCTTTGATCTCTGGTGGGAACAAAGAGGAAGATTAGGTTGAAAGAGTACAGCTAAACCTTGACTGGGTCATTGGTAACAATCCAATACTCGTTTACACTGGGGACGCAATTTTGGCGAGGTCTGCGTCGTTTCCAAGCCCTCGCGATTCCTGGAAACTCTACTGTTGAATCGCGCCTTCGACATGGGCCCATAAACAGAGGGAGCACTCTTTTTTTCTTTAGAAACGCGAACCTTTCTTGGGCATTCTCGCTGTCAAAAACAAAAGAAGGGCCGGAGCGGCACGAGTCCGGCCACAACCGAGGTGGAGGTCGCGCGGGTGTGGCATCTAAATCTTGGGCGACACCATTTACGCTAGAACCTCGTAGATCCCCGTGTAACAGCAGTAGAAAACCTTTTCCGAGCCTTTTTGCTAGGCACGAGTAGTGCCTGCTCCAAATGGTTCCAGCCTCGCACGAGACTACACTTGCCATCGCTGCGCTTTGCTGGGAGGCAAATCAAGAAGGCATCTGCAGTCATCTCGAGGGTCTGATGCCTCTCTGTCTTGGCTGCACGCAAGGTCTAGGATCTCCCTGGCACACGATCGAATCAAAGTGATCCACTTTGCCCAAGATTTTAGGCATGCATACACAGGGAGTTGCAGTGAGCGGAACGCTAAACCGCGTGAGGGGGCCACTGGGCAGGAGAGGCGGGAGATGCAAACTGCCACAGTGGGATGGAGATGCGCATCCAGTCACTCTCCCCAATAGGGGAGCCGTTCCTGTTTTGCGTCCGTGGATGCGTCAGACGTTGTGATGCACTTTGTCGCTATTTGCCTCGCCAGAGGTCGGTCTGCCCCTCCGGAGGACCTCTGCAACGAGCGTAGTTGGCCGCCAGTTTCCTACTGGATAATCCAGTTCAGAACTCGCGCATTTCGCAGGGGACTGCGCTTTGAATAAAGCGATGAGCATTAAAAAGCGAGTTTGTTATAACCTGGGGTCATTTTATTTTTGTCAGTTAACTGCTCCTTTTTGCGTATGATTTCACATATCCGCCAACGACGCTTTAAAGGGCAACTCCGGTTCATTTTACGTATTAAGAAAACAATTCTTTTTAGTATCTCCGAAAAAGGCTGTGCGCCAAACATTCTAACCTAATTCCGCCCAAAAGTTGGTGAAACTGGGAAACAAAGTTTGAGGTTGTGCAAAGTTACCAAAATCTGCTAATCCTAGCGGGCAATGCGCAGCGAAGCCAACTGCCAAGTCAATACCCGTGGTAGTGCTGCCCACCCTGCACTACCTCGGGGAAATTTGTTTGCTCGTCTTTTTCGAGCAAAGCCTACGGGTGGTGCTAGCAGCACGCTTATCGTTAACTGCATTATACGCGCATGCGCCGATGTACTCATGCGCGAGCATGCGTCATTCCTGGCAGTGTTCACCGCATGCGAGAGAGCCAGTGCGTGACGTTGAGCACGGCATACTTCTACAAACCCATATTTATGTCCTGTTTGCTCAACTTTACTGTATTTTAATGTTTTCGAAATGTAAGAAAACGCCTTTTTCCGCACTAAAACGCATGCTGCGGCCAGAATAAATAGTGCAAGTGTCGTCGGGCGTAGAAAACGATCCTTCCACCTTTGCGGCCGAGCTGCCACTGGTTGCCTGGTAGGTGGCATCGAGATTTGTATCATGTGGTTAGAGAATGTGGGTGACGATGCAGCAGCAGTGTTGCTCGCCGCAGGCAAGGTTTCAGTGTCGGTTTATGGTAAAATTTAAATAAAAATTGCAAAAAGAATATGCTTAAAAAAAAAGGAAGACGATGGATTGTTTATTAATGCCTCGGGAGATATAATCAGCTGTCAACTCAAATTTCTTGGAATTGACCAGAGTTGCCCTCTAAAAAGTCCTACGGTTTGACCCACCAAAAAATTTTACCTTTTTTCTTTGCAAAAATGAACTATGCATTGCCCAACTTTTATTTTCCACCTTAGTGTAGCTCGTGCCACTTTTGAGTGGTAAAGATTGTCTGCTAATGGGGGGGTCGCTGGCTCTCGGTGCCATATGCTCGTTCGTTGGCGGTTGTTGGCGTCGCAACAGCTGGTGCCATCTCTTGTCTCCCGTGCCAAACAGCGTCGTCTTACTTGAAAACCGCTAGCTTCGCTGCATTTCCATGGGAGATAAGCCTTTTTTTTTTTTACTTTCTCCTCGGGTAAGTTCGCTCTTTGCAAATTTTATAGAACAAATGCACTATCTGTGGGCAACAATGCACACAATCATAGCGCAATAGGTTAGGGAGACAATTTTTGCGGTCGATTTAAAGAGCCTGGCCGCTATTTGAGACAAATGTAGTTCTGTTCAAAGGCAGAAACAATTACATGAAAAAACATTTTGTGCTCAGATATAGGTGCACACATTTTTTAAGTATGGTGAAATACCTCTTTTTGTTTCTTTTGAAGTGTAGAGTGCAAGTAACTAGCCAATAGTTGGGTAAACATTTCTAATCTAGAAGAGGAAATGAAAGACATCGTAAAGCCTTCCTTTTAGAAGCATACCGTAAAATTCTGAGCAGGCCCTCCCCCTTTCCCCCTCCCCCCGCACGCAAGTCAAAATTACCTGCAAAGTGTTGGGGGTGGGGGGGGCGCTATCCCGGAACGGCGGCAAAATTTAAGATGGTGACGACAAAATTTTTTGGCCAGAAAAAGAAGTGCAAGCAGATTTAATATTTTATTTATCTCTGAGAACATAGACTTTAGTAGGCCAAAGATTTGTCACTGCTATGTTAATCACTTTCAGAACCAGCAAAAGACTCTGCAGAGTCAATCGCAAGAAAAAGTTTGCAGCATTCCGCGATGTTTCCCAACTGCATGCCGTTGGCTATTTTAACAGCCTCTTCAGAAAGAAGCCGGTTGCAAATGGCTCTTTCTGCACTTCCGCGCTCCAGGTATTCAAAGGGCGCGTCGTCCACGTATTCACCGAACACCGGCACACCATTACTTAGCTTTCATGGAAGTTTGGCTTTTGCGTAGTTTGGCTGTAGCAAATTGTCAAAATTCTTGTCCCATTCCCGTATCCGGTCAGGCTTGATGTGTCGACACGTCTGGTGTACGTTTTTCTCGTTTTCACAATGTCATTGGACGACCTTGATTTTCTTTGCCACTGTGTGCATAGCCGACCTGACACCCCCCGAAACAAAGCGACAATGGCGCGCAGCCATGCGCGTAGCAATTGGGCCGGCCGGGCCGATCGGGCTACAAAGTGGGATTGGATTGGATTCTTGGACTGAATTTCGCAGGCCAGTGTTTCCTGGGCGGGGCAAGGAGGGGCGCGGTCAGCGCGTTGCTTGAAATGGGTGCGGAGGGGGGGGGGGGGGGGGGGGTGCTTTCCCGGAACGGCGCGGAAATGTGAAATTAGCAGTGAAGTTGGGGGGGGGGGGGGGAGGGGCTGGCTCTTGCTCAGAAGTTTACGGTAGTTGAGATATTGCAATTCCAAATAGATACCGGCACTCTACGTATCCTCGAGATAATGCGTAAAAAAATTTTATTATTAGGGGGGGACTCTAAACAACTGCAACTGAGTGTAGAAGCTGAGAAGACGACCCAAGGTTTCAAAACGAATGCTTTTACAAATTCGAAAGATGTCCTTGAAAATTGGATGGAATTGCGTGAAATTAGGGCAGAACATAGATAGGATGCCCAGAAATCGTCCAGAGTCACCAAAACTGTCCCTCCTCGTATGTTGTGACTTTTCTAGCCCCTCTTGCGCCATGTGCCATCAAATCGTTACATTAAATGTACAAACATAAGCATTTCGGTCTTCACGAGATTTTGGCTGGTTATTTTCGTGGCACCAGCATTAGCTTTCTTGATAGTGAAGGTCTTGCAGTGAATTAGTGTTAACAGGCTGAAAATTATGCTGAAGCGTGGAAGTTTACATTTTTCAAGTTGACGGACGGCAAAACTTTGCAGTTTCCCACCATCGTAGCTTTGCTTTCACACTCTTGCGACCTCTTAAAACGAAACCTCTTACAACGAGAGGACACTCTGGCGCCATTTATTGGGTAGCAGTGTAAACTTGGTGGTCCGGCATATTTTCTATTTCTCTCGTGCATTATCCTTTCTTTCTCGGCTCGAAAAACTTTCGTAATTGTTATAAACGAGCCTTTCTTATAGCTATTACGCACATTTGACCTCGGAAATACCGCAAAACATTCGCTCTTGTGAAATGCAGTTCCAGGGTCACCGCATAGATGGCACCAGCGTGCCCAGTGTGGTCTCTCGTCGTAAGAAATTTGAAGAGGTTTTAAGAAGTCTCATCTCTCTCGGTCGTACTCGGTTGCAAACGTGTTAACGGGCCTTTACACCTCCATCTGACACGGCACATTTCGACGTAGACGTAGAACGAAAGAACCCACTCGAGGCACTTGCTCTTATATAGTGTAGTTTGTGGGACGATAAAAATTCCTCGCATTTCCCAATTGCGCTCATGACAAGTGGGCAGATCACATCGCTCAGAAGTATTTTCGGTGCACTGCACATCACTGAACTCGCAGAGCTATATCCACTTGTTCTGTCAACGTTTTCGAAGAACCCAATATTTTTTTCTGAAGGGCCGATACACGTGAACTCAGTGCCGTCGAAACAGTCTTTGTTGCTATAGTTAGGCTTAACACTCCGCTTTTGCGTTTCCTAAAACTTGCACTTCTTTCGATTGTTCCAAACGTGAAAACAGCACTCTTTAGTTGTTCTCTATCTCAAAACAAATCGGGGACATAGGAAGCGCCACCATCCCGAGTGACAGCCTCTCCAAGATAGCTGATATTTGCTTAGGCTTGCCACGTCAAGACATATTTTCCCGTCCATTTTTTACTTGTGGCAGTAGGATGTCCGAGGATAATACAACGAGCATATTAAAATCTTCTAAAATTTACGAGATGAAGATGTTTTTCGACACAGGTCTCCTCTTAAAAACATTATTTGAGAGCAGATTTCTGAATTTTTTTTAGATGTTAAATATCTTGTTTTTGTTTTCAAGAGTACAACCAACGTTACTAGAACATCTCAGTTGGGAAACTGCCATAGAGCCCGCCCTCAAAAAAATGGCACCGATCCATACACCAGAATCGAGCCAACGACGATCGCAACGCCACCGTTTCGCCCGCAGCGGCCACTTGAGGATCTGCACGGCTGTATCGGTTAGGGAGGCATTCGATAGTGTCTGCTTTGACGGTTCTATTTTGGCTTTAGTCGGCCATTTTGGCTCTGAAACATACACGGTGGAAAGGGTTTTAGCGATGCCAACCCTGTCAAAGTTAGAATGCGTCCAGGTCGGGACGCGCTATCTGAAATCACCGGTGAGACGTGGTTGTATGAAAACAATATTAATTGTGCCACAAAACCTTCTAAACTAAAGATTTTAGAAAAAATCACGTGCCTGTCATTTTCTGCTGATCTCCAATAAAAGTTCCTACAAAAAGAGCTTTTTCCGTTTGTTTTTACGCAAAAACATGCTTTCTAAAAGCTTATGGTGACCACAGTAAAAAAAAAAAAAAAGAAAGATTGAGCCGCCATTTTGGCGCCTCGAGCCTGGAAGTTTCGGTGCTCTGGGAACACTCAGTGACTCGCTAAAGGGTGGCGCTGTTATCTTATTTAACTCGGTCTTGGTGGACGCCAGCGACCCAGGTTTCGTGGGTGATTTTCCCAACTGAATGTTTTAGTAACATTGAGGACAACTATCCAGTCTCTGCCGGTTGCTGGTTGCACCCAGGGCCGGTGCTACATAACGCAAGGCCCAGGGCAAGAAAGTAAAAAAAACAAATGTCAACAAAAGTTTAAAAAGCAAAATCTGAAATTTAAAAATAACTTCGCTTATACTAAACATGAAGAAAAACGAGACGGGCACATTATCATGCGGGATATCTCTGGTGTGTATTTATTCAGTAGTGCTATGTGCAGATTGGCTTGGTTTTTTATATATGCAATAAATGAACAGAACAGAGAACTGAGCAATTACAAAGGTGTCCGGGTGGCATTGTGGCAACACAGGCATTTTTCTGTCCGGGTGGAACAGTCTGCAAATTGGCGAAGGGCCCCGCGCCCGTCGGCCAGCTATTTTTTCCTTTGGAAAACTCCACGAGGAGAGGTTAGTTTTGTAACACAGGAATTTTTCTGTCCGGGTGGAGCAATCCGCAAATTGGCGAAGGGCCCCGCGCCCGTCGGTCAGCTAACTATTTTTTTTTTTCTTTGGAAAATTCAGCAATGAATGTTATTTGTAGTGGCGATGTTGAAATTTTACAAAAAGTTCAACCGGCGAGTGACCGCGGGGCCCCTCTGTCACTTGCGGGGCCCTGTCGTAAGCGTGGGGCCCGGAGCGCCTGCCCCGCTCGCCCATGCCTAACGCCGGCCCTGGTTGCACCCACAGGCACAACTTCTTTTTCGGTCACTATTGCATGTAAGTTTTCCAAATAAACGTTATTATTACTATTAAACCAGTTTGCAGCATGTTTCAACATTCTCGAGCCTCACTGAGTGGAATTTTGCTGGGAGACACGACTGGGAAGGAAAGTCATTGGAGGCGAGCTGAAATGTTGCCCGTGTGCTCTGGTCGGCAGCGCTGTCGTGCGAGGACTTCCAGACGTGCAGCCGGTGCCAGGAGCATGAGCGGTGTGGCTGGTGCGACGACGGCAGCCAGACGGGCAAGGGCCGCTGCCTGGACGGGGCTGCCTCAGGCCCCCTGGCCGGCCCCTGCCCCGCCCACAACTGGCACTTCACTGGCTGCCCTGGTGAGCCCTTTCCCACTTCCAAACTCCTCTCTGGGCAAGCAACAAACGCCATGACGCAGGTTATCGTACGTTCGATAGTTTGTCGCCCCCTCGCAGACCTCGACGGCACACCTTGATGCTTCCCCTAAATACTACTAAACGGAGTTGATCGCAAAGGATGTAGCCCCCATCAACGTCCTTTGCTAGTTTTCTGCGAGTCACAATCTAAATATTATAATGATTTTTGTTCCGGAGCGAAATCAACCTTCGTAGTTTTCAGGTCATCTAGAAATATAGGGCACGTGGAATATTTCAAAGTGCCGTATTTACTCGATTCTAGCATGACCATGTTTTGTAATGCGAGGAGAAAAGAACCACGAGTGAAATAGGAGGCTATCTGAGAAGTAATTGAGTACCGGTGCTTTATTTGGTTCGTTTAGAATGCCCAACAGGAACGAAAGCCGTTCCAAATCCCAAACATACCCTAGAAGTCTGGGGCTCTAATCTCCTCAGACGCATACTCAGTGCCAAAAGTTTGCGAAGCACGCATGTGTGACGAAAGCGTGGTGGCGTCATTGGCGAGAGAGTTTGTAAACTTGGGTCCCAACTTGTAGCCTGTCTATGGCCCCAGAGCGTTCAAACTTAGAAACCGCCAGTTAAATTGCCTTAGAGTTGACTCTGAAGGTTAACACCGAGAGCAGCAGGTTTTGGTAGATTCTGATTTTGATTTCATGCTTCTCATTTTAAGTATTCAGAGTAACTCTGAAAAAGCCTCGCAATCCGGAAGGTTGCAGTGATTTCAAAACCCACCAGATTAGTTTTGCAGCCATTCGAGTATTGCGCCAGTGTCAACTTTATGGCACAAACTTTTCAGGGCGACTCGCGTTACAGTTGAGTAAATATTGTGTAGAGATACAGGCAGCATCTAGTAATTGAGAACACATTTTTGGGGCATGGTAAATACCCAGACAACAACTACATTTGTCTATAACTCTTGGCAATGATTCCACAGCATGTATCAAATCATCTATGGTTGAAGCACGATTCCCCCTGGCAGTTCTCCCGTCTCGAATGCCACGGGTCTTTTCCTCCAAGTGTCAAAAACCCCATAGACAAAATCTATGTCTTGCCTCCCTCGAGTACCGATACTCTTGTGCCCCATTCCCCCGCTATCCAGTGCTGCGATCCCCTTGATCACCCCTACTTTTTTTGTATTTATTCGAGTCTCATGGCCTTCCCCAGTGATTCTGCCTAATGCTCATCAATAAGCCAAAGTTGTAGGATGTTCATCTACATAGAAGTGTACAGTGTATTGTTTATTGTTTTTGACTGCTCGGGAAAGGCTAGCGCAAGGCTCGGAAATGTTGAGATCTCCATAAAATAACCGGTATTTAAGTAGCGTAGATGCTATTTAAATACCATATATTATGCAGAGATCTGAACATTTCCGAGCCTTGCGCAAGCCTTACCCGAGCAGTCAAAAATGCTGAATGCGTTCCCTCACATGTGGCAGTTGAGATCTCTGGGTACGACCTCACATCCAGTTGTTGGTACGTCAGTTTTTCTTGAGTCTATCGATACGACCGAGGCAAATGCTCGTGATATTCAAATTCATGGGACAAAAATACATAAAGATAATCAATTATAACTTATTTATTTCAAGAACCTCTTGAGCTTCCCTTTAAACTATGATAAATCAACTAGCCCAACTCCAATCCTTCATGTGTCATACTTTCCGACTTGAATGTTTGAACAATGCACAGAGCCGCAGTGTTTTGGACTTGGCCAGACAAGGAAAGCAGGGGAATACCAAATTTACTCGCATAATGAATACTCTTTTTTCCCCCAAAAATTGACACATACACGGGGTAAAGTTTTTGCATTTACTCACTTCATGCAAATGTCATATTAGGTGCCAATATGGCACGGCAAGGTACTGTGACACGTCTCCAGTGATGAAGGTGTACCCACGGCTGGTCAGGGCTGGGCCACAATAACCATGCTTTATAAATTGCAAACGTTTTTGGGGCGCTTTCGGCATGCGTTTGTGCCTTTTGCTGAAGAAAAAGCGCCCTACGAAGCTCACTCAGCACGAAAAGCAACAGGACCGTTCTTAGGCAATATATATTGCTAGTATCCGGTGGGCACGTTCATGTATCTCTGCAAGTAACTACGGGTATAAGAACTATAGAACTCGTACGAAGTCCAACCCCTGACCGCCGAAGCTCGCTCGCACAAATCAAGTTTCGTTCACGAGAGGCTACCAGACACTCTCAGCCTACAGTACAGCGTGCATCCACCTCGCTGTGCTGTTCTGTTACGGATTAAATGAACACATTTACCCGGTGTATGTGGAATTAGGCCTAACCCCTTTCACGATTTCACTGTCGGAAAGCAAACCAAAGACGACGGCTTGTTTGTTGACATCAACGCATCCGACTAGCGAAGAATGTCCGGGGCTCGGCAATTCCGACCCATGCTTCGTCAAGTGTGCGCGACACTCGGTTTCTCGGTTGATCACTTCCGTAACTACCACAGCTACGCATTTGCGGCCATTACGAGGGCGGCTTGGCTTGACTTGGCCTGACCGCTTGGCGGCAAAAAAAAACTGGCTTGGTGGCTTGCTAAATTGGGCACTATTCGAGACTCGCGGATCCGAAAATTGGAGGTGTGTTGATTACGAGAGGGAAAGAAAAAAGACAAAATATTGATGCCCGTTGTGGGGTGTGTGTTTATTATGCGAGTGCGTTTGTTATGCGAGTAAATACAATATGCATAGTTTTTGAAAGCCGGGGATTTTGGAGACGGGGTAGAAGGCGCTTTGTGATTGGCTTATTTCGTGCCCGTCATCTATCTAGTATTCCAATCAAGATGGCTGCCTTCAGCGTCGCACAGGAACCATGAAGACATGCCATGCTTGTTGCACTTGCCGCCGACCACTATGATTCAGAGTTTGCCACATTTTTTAACGTGGGAGTTGCGTTGAAACTCAAGGAAGCTAAACTCAGGAGGGGATGTGTCTCCAGTTGCCGGAAGGCGTTTGCAACCATGGGATATATTATGGGGACCATCGATCGAGTCCAGAAGGTTGTCGGTGATCAAGTCAATCGGGCAAAGAAATTGATGAAATACCATCGGGCGTGTGGTTCGCAAAGACATTCGGTCTCACGAGAAGAGGCAGTTCATGACCGACAAGACGTGACATGCCTGCTTAACAAGCTCGAGCACCTTGAGGAGCATGACCCGCTTTTTGTATGAATGGGAAAAAGTGGCAGCTGGTTTTGTTCTAGCCCCTCAAAGGTCTCCACTGTTATGTGAGTTTCCACCATCTATGATTTATGAGGGCCACATCATGCCACCCTTCCCTCGAGGATTCAAGGCCACCGCATACGTTGAGGTGCTGGGCACGCTGGTGAAGCCTTGCAGTACGTCTTCCAGCAGGACTGCTCCTGTACATGCAGCTTCTTGGACACAAGAGTGGCTGGCTGGAAATTTCCATGACCACGTCAGCATGCGGCCCCCCTACTCCCCAGAGTATGGGGAGTATGTTAGGCGTTGTTGAAAGGGAGACCAACAAGGAGCCTTACAATGCCAAAAGCTCATTGAAGGCTGCCCTTGTACAACGTGTAAACCAATGCTTCATACCCACTTTAGACAAAATTGGTTTCTCAGCAATTTCCTTCAGATGTGTGGCTAGGTGCTGGAAGTTCAGAGTGAAAATATTGAGGGATGAACTTACCTCGTTCAGAATTAAAGTTAAAAGAACCTGTTTCGGACAATCTTTGGCGGCATTCCTCAACGGTGCCATGACCTTGCTCTCCTATTTTTTTAGGTAAATGGTCAGCTAGAACGAGAGGGACTTGTAAGTGCTGATAGGTGGTGCAATGTGAGAGACGGGAAGATGCTGTGCCTATATAAATAACTGGTTCCTCATATATTCATATACATTATCCTGTACCGGAATCGAGATTGTTCGCCCGAAATAAATGTTTGCCCCTGCAGCCTTTCACCCGAAGGTTTCCACTCTGGTTTTCCACTCTGGTTTTCACCTGAGTGGAAAGGCTGAATTTTTCTAGGCGTCATCCTAGAAGTCGTCCTTGAGGTCATCCTAGTCGCCGTCCTTGAGGTCGTCCGGGAGGTTGTCGTCAAGGTCATCTTAGAAGTCATCCTTGAGGTCGTCCTCGAGGTCATCCTAGAAGTCGTCCTTGAGGTTGTCCTAGACGCAGTCCTTGAGGTCGTCCTAGAAGTCGTCCTTGAGGTCGTCCTAGATGTCGTCCCTGAGGTCGTCCTACGTGTCGTCCTTGATGTCGTCCTCTAGGCGTCGTCCTCTAGGCTTCATCCTTGAGGCTGTTCAAGAAGTCGTCCTTGAGGTCGTCCTAGATGTCGTCCTCTAGGCGTCGTCCTCTAGGCTTCATCCTTGAGGCCATTCAAGAAGTCGTCCTTGAGGTCATTCCCACCATAGTACAGCTTCGCTGGTCTTCCTTCTTCACCAGAGTGGAAATGCTGCAAGTCTTTTTTCCCTCGTGTAATGAATGCACTTCCAATTCTCGGCTCCGCGAATCTCGAATTGCATTCAACTTAGCTAGCCACCAAGCTCACCAAGCCAATTGAATTTTGCCTCCAAGCAGTCAAGTCAAGCCAAGCCGCTCTCGTAATGGCTGCAAGTGCGTAGTTGGGGAAGTGGTCAACCGTGAAATTGAGCGGCATGCACAATTGACGAAGCTTGGGTCAAGGAATTGCCCAGCCCCGGACTTTCTTTGCCTATCGGATGCATTGATGTCAACAAACACGCCGACGTCTGTGGTCCGCTTTTGGACAGTGAAATCATGAAAGTGGTTAGGCCTAAGTACGATCACGTTGCTCTTCGTGCTGAGTGGGCTTCGTAGGGTTTTTTTTTTTTCTTCGGCAAAAGGCACGCCAAAAGCACCCTAAAAAGGTTTGCAATTTAACAAGCATGGTTACTTTGGCGCGCCCCCGACCAGCCATGGGTGCACCTCCATCAGTCGAGGCGTGCCACAATACCTTGCCGTGTCGTATTGGCACCTAATATATGGCATTTGAACCAAGTGTGTATATGCAAAACTTTTACGCCGCATAATGAACGCACCCCCCAAATATGTGTCGACTTTTCGGGAAAAGAAGTGTGTTCATTATGCAAGTAAATACGGTAAGTCTTATTATTGTTATACATGAGATGAAAAAGAATAACCTGCTTATCATATTAAAAAAATCTGCATAACTGCATATGGGTTTTGGAAGCCAGGTTGGCTTCCCCAATTGATTTGACAAATATTTGCTCGCTCTACAAAATGTGTAATTTAGGATGGAAGTGGCATAGATGTGAGAGCCCCGGCATGGGTTGCTCACAGCCGGCTTGCTTTGCAGAGTGCCAGTGCAACGGACACAGCACGTGCAACGGTTCCTCGGAATGCCTCCAGCCCTGCCTTCACCGCACCCAAGGTGGGTCCTGGAGACTCTTTCTTTGAGCTGGTCGTCTGCCTGTGTGCTTCCCCATTCTCCTGCGGCTCTTTGGAATCTTTCCTCGACACCAAATTTCCCGGTCATACCATGTCCAGTTGAGCCCGGTTGTAATCGAGCGGACAAGAGTCGGAAACCTGCTCGTTATTTGTAATGCCCTATAAATGGCGAGGTGGTAGTTCAAAGGTGGTGGAAGAGACGGGGATAGATTTTCCTGGATTTTTCGTGCGCCCGCTCGCCAACGTCGATCGGTGTGTTTAGATTAATTTATTTGGCTACAAATGCGAAGCAGTCGTGGTAGGAGCGTATTACAGCTGATGGGAACATTAACGCGCATTTGGAAAGCAAGCATGTTGATTTTTAAAACTTGCAGGAAACTCGCAGAATTTGACGAGCTTTGTGTAGGGCAGCGGTCTTAAACTCGTTCGAGTGCAAGCTCCAGATAGCCCATCCCCGAAAGGTCGAAAGCCAAAGGGTGTTGGCCAGAGGGAGGGGGGGGCAATATTTTGTGATTTTGGGACAAAAAAAAAAAATAAACAAGTAGCAGTTGTGTTTCGCATTGCAAAGCAGCCAACTGTCCCAGCGACACCCTAGTGATTTTCTAGAGGAGCCTTGTACTTCCGGCTTTTTGTAACCTCACTGTTTTGCCATCTTTGGCTTTCATTTGCATATACGACTAGTTTGGGCCCACCCTTATGTTATAAGATTTAAAACTCCAACGTACTGGTAGTTTTCAATAGAACGAGAGCAAGTGCACCGTCCTTGCGCTGTTGCACAATGGCTCAACAGACACAAACAGTATCTCTTCTAACGGCAGTATTTTCTTTCGTGACGATTTTCATAGCAACATTATAAGAAAATATCTGTATTTTAAAAGTATTTTCCAATGGTTAGGCCCGAGCTGATAGCTTTATCTTTGCCAGTTTCTCCTGCTGAGCTAGAGTTTGGGCTGCCAAGGTGCCTTTTTGAGCAGAGAGCTCGCACTTGTAGCCTAGAAGTTGTATTGCCATATCGGATGATTTACATAAGAAGGGGCTGAGAACCAAATATTTAGTTGAAGCAATAGTCAGCCAAAATGAAAAGAGAATAGTGCGAAATGTATGAACAAGTTATATGAACAGAGCTGCTTTTCGAGCTGAAATGAATCGACGCTACAAAACTATTATTTATGGCGCATGTAGCGCTCGAGGCATGGGAACTGGGGTTCTCAACCGCGGTATATTTGTGGGCCGCGTCCCAGAGACCCCTGGTGTAGGCCGAGCCCATTTTGGACACCGGCCTCGTCAATTACGGTGTTTGCACTGTGCCTGGCCACAGTGCTCAAAAAGTGCAGGGTGACTGTCAAGCTCCGCAACTGGCTCAACTAGGTACGTAGCTGAGCAACGCAGAAACTGGTGCATTCGATTCAATTAGAAGCTGCACTACCACTGGCAACGGGTTCAGAGACCCAGTTTCTCGAAAGCTTGCACCCAAGTGGGTTCAGCATCTGTGCAGAAGCAGACGAAAAAAGCAGACTGCATTCGCAGTGCCATTTCTCAGAGCTCTCGCTCAAATGTCTGGCATGTTTAACAATAACACCCATACGGAGGTTACATTTCCTCCGATCAGTGAAAATAGTGTACCCCTGGTGAAAGCGAGATTTTAATGGAGTGTAGGAATTGGCTCTTATATGATATTTTGAAAGCGTTACACCTACTCGTGCAGGTTCGGCTTCCTATGGTAAGTGTTGAAAAATTGGCTCGCTTTGTTTCTTTTTGATGCTATGTGGTACTATGTTGACATTCTTTGTAAAAAACGAGGGAAACGACTCTCGATAGTCCCCGCCTTGAGTAGCTCTTGGATGCAGAGTGACGACTCCGATATATTGCAGAGGTCTGCAATTGAGCGCATTGGCACTTGCACACCTCGTAGCCGAGCATAATACTGCATTCTGTGGCCGCCCACTGACGGGCTTGGGAAGAAGTGGCATTGGCTTAGGAGTTTTACGTGGATCTTCCTCGAGAATCAAAATAGGTGTCAAAATGACGGCCGATAACTGTTTTGGCCAAGGCGACACTCTCGTCAGGCATTTGTTTTCCAAGTGACCGCTGCCGCGCACCGCCACCAGTAATTCCCAACGCGAAATCACCCCAGTGCTGCAAGCCTATTGTTGAAGTGTGAAATTCGAGAGACTGGGAATTAATCTACTATCGCTAAATGAACGTAAATTCTATCGTGACGTACGCAGTCGAAGGAGACAAACACTTATGGAAACGATAGGAAGCGGACGGCACTCAATAAAAATTCAGACAGAAACGCTTGCTGTAAATGTTTTTAGTACACTCGTATATAGAAAGGTTGACAAAAAATATTTTTTTTTTATAGCTAAAGAAAGGCACCCGATCAAACCGCCAAGAATTTATTGTAGCATGCGACATGGTATGGAAAAACAAGATGCAGACGACACCCTGCGGAAACCAATGAGAGCACCAGTCCTAACACGGTGGCTGCACTGATTCTGTGCTGAACTGGTTCTGTGCTGCACTGGTTCTGTGCTGCGCTGGTTCTGGGCTACACTGGTTCTGGGCTGCACAACTCCTGCATTCCTCGCAACTGGGACAAAACCCGTTTTGGCCCAATTTGCGCAGTCCACTGCGCAAGTGACAAATGATGCGGTGCATTCTGGATGACGTGATTCTTATTTCACCTTTCCAGTGATGCAGCGAGGTAGTTGAAACATTGACTGACAATTGCTCACAAGTAGTTCGTACCAAAACCAAATAATATTGCAATTTAATTAGCGTCATTTCACAGTTTTCATCTGTCTGCATAAAACTAAACACAGAACTATCATGCCCTCGACGTTGCACATCCGACATTCCTAACTCTCCCCATCTTCCTTAACGTCCACGTGTGTCCTAAAACTAGAAACCGGCATTTTAAAGGTTAAAAACGAGACATTGTGAATATGGGACGCGCACTTTCATGCAAAGCTGACGTCAAGTGACTCAAATTGAAAAACATGCATATTTACAATATTATCTCTTCTGGTGAAGGCTCAGCAACCGTTGCATTAGTTTTCGTGCACAAAACAGTGACTCCCAGAGAAAGCAAGAACGCACCGTTATTGCCTTCATTTTAACAATGTACACACACGTGCAGGCTTGCACTGATAATGCCTCAAAACCGAAACTCTTGTAGCGTAATTCATGACTGCGCCACGCTCGCTTCTACCCAACCTCGTTGTCATGGCACTTCTGCAAGAAGTCACTAAAATTGCCAGTAAACGCACAAAAATGACACCGATACAATTATCTTATAGAATATCATCTTATTTTGTAATAACTGTGTCAATATGCAATACATGTTGCATTTAAGTTCAGAAAAAAAAAATTAAAACTGTTTTTTGCCAGAAAAAACTAAATATCACCGTTAAGTCTAGTAACAATGTTTTTTTGCCGAATCTCTAGAAAAGTTCAACAAAAGTTTGGCTTTGCTGAATCCCAAGATTCGGTGCCAAACTTTCCATTCGGCAAAAGTTTGACCCATCCCTAATATATATGAACAATTCATTCTCGCGCGACACTACCGTTGCCGTCAGGTAAACACATATAAGCTCCAAGAAACTGTCCAGGTTCATGCCGGCTGTGTTTTGGAAGGCTTCGACACACTGCTGTTTAATGGTCGTTCGAAGAATCGATAGCAGGCTTGCTTGCTTGTTGTACGGAGTAATATATGTTGTGAATATCGATGGAAAACCCTGAAAAGATGTCAGACCCCTTCTCCCCAAGAAAGGCAATCACACTTTTGGAGTTGGGAATCCTGAAACGATCTTGCACCCTACATTGGGACAATTGCTTTGCCAGATAGGCCGACACTTTTTAAATATCATGATAAAAGCTTTTTTGTTTTGTTTTTTTTTGTGGGGGGAGGTTAATTCTATAGGAATTCGGGTTGTTCGTCGAAAGACAATTTGTAATATGGCAAATTGTAGCAGGGCAATTCGTCACATAGGACAATTCATCGTAAGGCGATTCGTCACTGGGATAGCTTGTCCGAAAACTGGTGATAATTGTTTGAAGATCTTGTTGCCCGCGTGCGAGCTTTTTTAACGTTTGGTCGCTTTTGTTATTCAGCTGTTGTGTGGTGTCCTGTTTAGAAAGTTTGGTCTTTTGTTTCCTTAAAAGTTGATAAACGTTTTAGTTAACCTTGGAAGCTTAGAATATAAAACTTTCAGGTCTCCTTTGTGATCCAGCTCCAAGCTCCAAGTGTGGCACAGAGACTGCGCATGTGCGGCACGGAAAGACTGTATCTTGTCCAAGTGCGTGACACAGACGGACTGCGCGCGCGCGAGACAGACATAGACTGCACATGAGTGACCTAAACTTTTGCCACCCATTTTTTTTATTAGTGACGGGGAGGTGCCAAGATTGTGGTAGACAAGTCATAATTATTCAGTGTCTATTAGAAATGAGTAAAAGTCTAATTTTTTGCGTTAATTAATTTTTATAAAAAAAAAATAATTAAATCAAGGAAGATGGTCGCTGGTAGTTGTCCTCACTTGGAAGAAAATACTCGATTACCAGCAGAGATGCTACAAAAATAATAAATATATGTTTATAGTTTGATGAATTAATATAGTGACGAATTTTCTTATGTGACGAATAGCCCTGCTACCAGCTGACATGGGACGAATTGTCACTGGACAAACGGTCCTACAGCCGATTTTGTGACTTGTGCGTCTGAGCACTTAGAGATATGGAGTTTGATTGGTGCTGCCAAGTGTGTTCCATCTGCAGGGTTACACTGTGAGCATTGCATCTCGGGCTACCATGGCAACCCGGCCAATGGCGGCAACTGCACGCCCTGCTTCTGCAACAACCATGGCAGCCTGTGCCACCGGGAGACCGGCAAGTGCAACTGCACCACCAAGGGCATCATTGGCCCCAACTGCGACAGGCAAGTGCCTGGGGCCGGAATCTTTCCTCTTTTGAGAGCACAACACGTTCCAGGGCTGTGACAGAACGCAACAAACAAGACCCTAAATTATTCGAGCTTCGAGGAGCATGTTGAGACTGTAGTTACATGTCCTAAAACAAATGGCACTTGGCCCATTCATTTATCAATGCCTCGTTTTGGTTACTCCCTTTTTTTTTTATGTAGACGAGTCAAATGTGCGCAGTGCGTGTACTTACGATCCCGGCATACTTGCCACTCGAGTAATTTGGGTCCGTCGAGAACGTGTAGCGATAAATTCGAAAGAAATAATCACCTTCCGAACCTTGCCTAAAGAGAACTGAACCCAGGTCCCCAAGATTCTGAGATACAGTAGAACCTCATTGATGGGTTTCTTGGGGGACTGGGGATAAAAGAGGCACTCTTTTTTGCCCACAATGAGCGAAGAAGTAAAAGCGATGGCTGTTGTATGTTCGTGTAATACGGGCCTTTTCCTATGCACCTGGAACGGAGTACAGCCTCGGTGTGGCATAGGATGAGTCTGCGGCTGTGCAAGCGGGAGTGTCCCCGGCATTGTTGAACGGTGAAAGGAGGGTGTGATGTTGACACTCAGTGTTGAGTGGAAAGGGGGACACACCATCTTCCCTTATCGCGCGGCCACAGTGCACGGCCAGTGGGAACATCCGACTCGTCTCTCCTCGTGCCATGAGGGGAGGTTTTTCTCACCTCTGCTGCGACAACGGACAGCAACAAATGCCGACACCGAAATTCCTGCAAAGTGTCACCCATAAACCACTTTAAAAACTTATGATCTGGGAAAACATAAGGAGCGAGAACGCCCTTTGGGGGGTGCTAGACATGAGAGAGAGAGAGCAACTGTCATGAAACAATTTATTTTATGCAAATATTTGTAGGTGTGAATCGACCCAAAAAAACTTTGTAAACATTTGTAAGGGTAAACTGTAATAAACTACGGAAAAAGTTTGCAAGCATTGTTTGGCGTGAACTAAAATATGTTCAGAAAGAGTTTGTAAACAATCATCATGGTGAACTCGAATACGTACATCCAGAAAAATTGTGTAATTTCCATCTAGTGCCTTGGGCGACTGACCTGCAGGCGAGCGACCAAGTTCTGGGCTTGCAGAGGTGCACCGGTATCATTGTCCCACCCACCCACACTTCAGTACACATAAAAGCTCTTGCTGGACGAAAGCCTCAGAAAAAGGCGAGATTTAACGCAAGCTTCTCGACACAAACCCAGGAGAGTACCAGAAGTTACAGTACGTCAACCGGGCCAAGTTCTTGCAGCTTCTCACGCATGGAACCACGAGGACCGCACAACAAGACGGTCCATGCAAAAGAACAAAAGTCAATGATGTGCCACCTTTGTGTTGCCCATCCAAAACAACGATAGATTTCGATTCATTGAGCAGGTTCCTTGCCAAGCTACGCTTTACTTTGTTTTGGGGTATAGTACTTCATAAAATCGGTTCACAGGGCTGAAACTTCGCATGCCCTCCTTCTATATGGCTACAAACGCCACCGGCAGGGATGTCCTCCTTTTATATGGCTACAAACACAACCTGCAAATTTCAGGCTGATTGAGTGAGCAGTTCAAAATTTGACATTCCCAGGTAGTGTCCTCCCTTAAGGGGGGACACTACCCAGAAAAAGCAATTTCTGCAAAAAAACATTCATTTTGAAAAATGTCATATTTACATCCACCAACATCTAGAGGGTATTTCCAGAAAGTTTCATTAGTTTACACTGCATAATTAATTTTTTATAGATTATTTTCGGTCCACCAACGCTAAAGAAAAGGTACAGGTTGAAGCACTTTGAACGCATTTTTCTCCATTCCACTTTCTGGCATAAATGTCACTTTAGGAAAACTATTGTTTTGTTATTACATAACTTGGATATATTTTTATGAGTTTTTCTGGGGTGAAATTTTAAGGGGAAGATAACTATGAGCTTGTATTTTTTATTTTTGTCATTTTTCATGCTCAAAAACAAACATTTTGGACAAAGGATGGAAATCTAAAACACTGTATTTGTGTTTATGTGGCTCTATTGTCATGAAAGATGGTATAACATAGAAATATAGCTCCATAGTTATCTGCTCTGAACTGTCCTAATACAATATAACACATGAAAACGACAAATTTATAAGTAATTTTAAAACAATAGTTTTCCTACGCAGGCACGCCCACTTTCATCTTTGAAGGCTTGCAGGTTTTTTTGTACGTCACCCAGGTTAACAAAATTTGGCAGAAATCTTCTCAACATCAACAAAAACAAGCCCTGCAAATATAATTTAAATCAGACAAGTGGTTCAAAAATTTACTTTTTTGGGTAGTGTCCCCCCTTAACTGAAAAGTCTGTATACAGTGTGCCTTTCACCCATTCATAATATTTTTGTATCAGCAAGGAGCCAGCTTGGCCAATGGCTCCATCGGTGTTCAAACTGCATGTGCTGCCTTCCCTGCCTTCTAAAGTGCCGGGTATACTACGCCACAGACTGATAGTGCCGTGTATGCTCCTAATGGTTGCTTCCGACAAGTTGCCTTAACTCAGCATATGCACCAGAAAGCCACCGGCGTTCGATTGGTCCGCGATGGCTTCTGGCGACGCACCGCCGTTTTGATGCGTGCTCGTGTTGGCGCACCATTGTTGGACAGCTCTGCGAAAGACAAACTTTGTAAGTCGCATGAGAAAAACCATATGTTCCCCAAAAACTCCAAATGACATTTATGACTTGGTTGTTAAACGAGCCCTCAGGTTTTTGCCGCTTGTCAGCTTAGGAGTGGAGCGATCATTTTCCGACTTTAAGAATTTGTTAACAGTGGAGAGGCAGAGCCTAGGCAAACAAACACTCGAGATGTTCCTTTTCCTTGAATTCAACGCAGGAGAGTAGACGGGGATAATAAAAATTGTTGAGCCCATCCACTTCACGTGAACCTCAAGTATGATTCCTAGAAGATGACATCTAGGACGACTTGTAGGATGACTTAGAGGACGACGTCTAAGACGACCTCAAGGACGACTTCCAGGACAACCTCGAGAATGACATCTAGGACGACGTCAAGGGTGACCTCGAGAACTACACCTAGGACGATCTCGAGGACAACTTCTAGTACGACCTCAAGGACGATTTCTAGGATGATCTCGAGGACGATGTCTAGGAAGACCTCAAGGACGACTTCTAGGACGATGCCTAGAGGACGACCTCCAGGACAACTTCGAAGACGACTTCTAGGACTGCCTCGAGGACAATGCCTAGAGATGATAGCAAAGGATCAGGACCTCACTATCTAATAATGCCAAGGAAGGCTGATTCACGCTGGTTGCCCCCTTTTTTTATAATGCAAAAGCATTAACTGTCCCATGGATCGAGCTGACGTCATCAGCTTCAAGCGGCCGCTTAAATCCTTTCTACGAGTGAAGCCAGCTCCCAGTTATGACACCACGCAAAAAGCCTAGACAATGGCACTTAGTTTCCCTGATCCCAAAGGGGCAGACTAAAGCTGATAAATTTCAGCTTCAATCCCATTGGCTGGCGCGTGTCGACGACGCTCCCATTTGCCACTGCGTGTCAGTTTCAACAACCGCTCGCCCCATGGCGCTTCGTGCCCGCCAGCGCACCGTTAACACGGAGCGTCCAAGGTCAGCGTGCCGCTCGCGCGCGCTGACTGGCGACGAAAAGTATGCAGCAGATGAAATAAGGGAGCGGACGAGCGGCTTGCATGCTTTTGCATTCATAACTCATAAGAAGTGCTTACGTGTACCCCGAGCCTTTTTTTATTTATTCATACTTGCCATGATCAATGGGGAGTTTTCTGTTGACATGTGAGGATGCATTTTTCCCCAGACCCTAGCCCCTAACAGCTTCGCTGTAAGAAGAATAATAAATATTTCAATGCTAATAAACATATTAAGCGTACTCAGGGAAGTTGTCCCGATTTGTTGTCGTTGTCCCGACATCTTGCAACGCATTGTAAAGAGTGCACATGCAGTCCGTTATTCGGGAAAACAAGCATCCTAGGGAGGCACAAAGACAAATTGACAAGTTGACCCGCGAGGTACTGGAAGCTTACCACATCCTATCTGCAGGTAAGGAATGTATTAGTGTTGAATTGGTTGCACTAACAAACAAGAAAATATACTTGACAATGACAATGAAGAACCCGCATGAACCACGGTTGTCGCGAGACATTAGACAGCATGACAACGCGACAGCTGACTACGGATGAGGTGTTTGTCTTCATCTTTGACAATAAAGACCCCACACGAGTCAAGACTGATGCAAAACACCCTGCACGATGGCTACATGACAGCCAACAACAGGTCTGGTGTTTAAAGAAAGGACCTGGTGTCTGAAGCATGTGTCTACGAGGAAACGCCCTATCAGGGCCGTAACCAGGGGGGGGGTTAGGGGGTTCTGACCCCCCCCGAAATTTTTTTCTGGGTACGGCCCTGGTCGGTGCACTTGCAGCCAGCCGATTTTAATCTCCACCTCTGCGCACGCGCAGTGGCGCCGGTCGGCTACCGGATACCAAACCGGGACCGGTTCTCCGGTTTGCTGCAACTCTCCATTATATGCCACCGATGCACATGATTCGTAGGCGAAAATAAGACAATAGACACTTTCAAAATGGCCGCCGTTGTCCACGAAAACTCCCCCCGAAATTTTTTTCTGGGTACGGCCCTGCGCCCTACTATTTATATTCATCTTTCTTTTTCATCTTTATTGGGATGATGGATTTTTACGATGTTTTTCCTTCTCTTCATCTCAGTAAATATAGTTGTGAGTAGTGCTCTTTCCTGTATCTTCTCTCTTCTCTCTACGAGTGCGCTAATATTGTTTAGATGTTCTGAGAGAATGCCCGCCCCTGAGAGATCACCCATCCCGCTTTTCTGGCTAAAAAACTCTGGTGAAGAAGGAAGACCAGCGGAGCTGTACTTTGGAGGGACAACCTCAAGGACGACTTCTTGGACGACCTCAAGGACAACGCCTAGAGGACGACGTCTAGTGGCCAATTCGTCTGGGCCCGCATTGCACCGGTGCAGCGCGGTTCGTGGAACAGGGAAGGCTAGAGGGGAGCTTTCTTCTCCCCTCGCAAGCCTTCCGTGTACTAAAGTGGAAAGATGTTACTGCAGTGGACGGATGCGGTGTGCCCCAGATGAATAGGCCATAGGACGACCTCAAGGACAACTTCTTGGACGACCTTGAGGACAATGCCAAGGACAACCCCGAGGATGTCCAGAACGACATCTAGGATGACCTCAGGAACGACGTCTAAGACGACTTCAAGGACGACGTCTTGGACGACCTCAAGACGACTTCTAGGATGACCTCAAGGATATCTAGGACGACCTCAAGGAAAATGTCTAGGACGACCTCAAGGATAACTTCTAGGACGACCTCGAGGACAACCTCAAGGACGACGTCTAGGACAACCTCAAGGATGACATCTAGGACAAGTTCTAGAACAACCTCGAGGACGTTGCTAGGGGTCGTCGTCCTCTAGGCATCGTCCTTGAGGACTACTTTAGGACGACACCTAGAGAAATTTAGCCTTTCCACTCTCGTGAAAACCAGAGCAGAAAGGCTGGAAAGGTTGCCGCCATCTATGAGCGATGGCAGCAACCAGACAACCGGCAAGCCAGTTGTCTGGTTGCCGCTGTCGCTCATAGATGGCCGTACCTGTCCAGGGTTTTGTGTCTAGATTTATTTGTCCATGGATACGAAACTGGGGAAACTTGCCCTTAACAGCCCAGCTGTAACTGTAATATCTGTAACATAAAAATTTCAAACCCCCCCCCCGATTCCCGCGGGACGTCATGCGATGTCTGAGGGGAATCGCATCAATTGCACAATTTGGTGTACCGGCACGTCTGACAAGCAAATTCATAGCAGGTTCCTGCGTTTTTGTCCGCAATCTGTGTGCGCGATATTGACTCCTGTAACACCCGAGTTGTTCCTGCGTGTATGTTGCACTGTGAAATACAAATTTGCTGCGTCTGCAATGTGTGGTATCCGTTCTCTTGACATGAAGTTTGTAGCGGATTCTTGTGCTTTTATTTGTGAATTGCGCACGCGGTCTCGATTCCTCGCGAGGTGGTCCCGCGTGTATATTGCTTCGTCAAATATGATTCTGCTGCATTCATGATCTGCGGTATTTGTTCCTGTAACATACGAGTTTGTAGCAGATTCCTGCGTTTTTGTCTGCGATCTGCGCACGCGATATCGGTTCCCGTGACAGGCAAGTTTGTAGCAGGTTCCTACCTGTTTATTGCAGCATAGAAGTTAAATCTGCTGTGTCCGCGATTTGTGGTATTCGTTCCTGTGAGATGCGAGTTCTTGGCGAGTTTCTGCAGGTCCTTTGCATCGTGAAATTTGCCGCGTCCGCAACCTGTGGTATCCTTTCCCGTGACACAGGAGTTCGTAACCGATTACCACGTGTTTATCACATCATAAAACGTGAATTTGCGGTGTCCGCGATCTGCGGTATCGGTTCTTGCGTCACGTGGTTTGCAGCTGGTGCCAGCTGCAAACCAATTTTTGATGAAGTTTTGTTGTGGCATCCTAAAGATAGCCACCCCATGTTTTTCACCATTTATCTCTTCATTTTGGGTGGGCGTTCTTTTAGAACTTTACGGTAAGTAGCATGTCCACCTGGAGAAAAGATGCCGCCTGTACACTGTGCATGGCCCTTCCCTACTTTTGGTAATGTCATCCTCTGATAACTTATCAGAGAGCATATGTGACACCTTTTTAGGATTGCAGGTGTCTTCTCTACTGAAATCAGAATTGCTTCCACTCGATTCATTAAGAGCTTTTCCTTAAAATGTGGGTGGAGCAAGCCCATTTCCAAGAGGGGGGCGTCTTAGAAAACGCAGCCCCCCTCCACTGAAATCCTCCACCTTTGCTGGCATCTCCTCTCCTCCATACCCAGGTAAAAGCAACCAAGGATCCTAAAAAGGTTTCCCATACGCCTCCCTAAAAAAATCCTGGCTACGGTACTAGGACGGAGTAAACACTGCCTTATTAAATAATAAAAACGTGCGCAAAATGCCTAGTTTACATTCCCAATGAAAGATGACACAAGCTAAAATTGCCAGGAAGCCCCAAACACTTGACCGTAATGCAGGCATGTCGGGGAAGCCTAGAATTTTGGAATATTTGTTTTGTCGGGGCAACCCCGACACATGACCGGAAAGGGTTAACAATATTGGCATTGTTTACACCCTGTGCAAAATTTGTTATCTATGCAGGAGAGGTGTTGTCTTGGGAGGTGTGTTAGGGGGCTGACTCGTATGTCGCTTTTTTTTCCAGGTGTGATGAACAGAACCACTATGTGGGCAGCCCTCAGGAGGAAGGTGGCACGTGCTTCTGTGAGCATCTTCCCTTCCTTCCTCTGTCACCCACTCACCAACTGGCTGAACGCAGCTTGTAGACGTTCAATTGCGCACACGAAAACCTTGCATTTCGACAAATTTGTGCCGCAACCTAATGAGGCAGAACAGATCAACATGTTTCTTCAATTCTTCCATGCGGACAATGCCTTAATCATAGACACGATTTTATTTAACTTTAATGGTTTTGCAAACGGTGCCGGTGATGTAAATGTCCTTTGGGTTCGAGATATCTGGGATGAATGTGTGCTCGATTCCACCAATTGTGAAGAAGCTCGCTTCTCTCAAATTTCCTAGATCACTCTAAATATCTGGACATTGTTGAATGTCAATACCAAATAGCTCCCGGCTTGAGAGGTTTTGTCAAGAAGAAGAGGCGAGGATGGGGGTGAGCGCACACAGGGCGTTAAGCTGTTAGTGGGATCCCCTAGGGAAAACGCACGGGTGTCCTTCGCACAAACTCCAGGTGACCTCATGAATCAGGTGATCGCTCCCTACCGCCGAGTTTATACGAAAAAAACTTCTTCTGTCGAGCAGGATTCGAACCAGCGACCTATGAATGCCAGGAATTGTTTGCTCTACAATCTACCATATTTACTCAGCCTCAACAGCAATTCGATCCCTCGCTAAACTTAGGGGAAAAATTGATGTTGCGTAACTACAACACCAATTCAGTTTCCCCGCTAAATTTAGCAGGGAAAATGACGTCGCATGACTTGGCATCACGTCACCTATGTACAAAGTTAGTTTCTCCCCTAGACTTAGCAGCAACATTGACTTCATGGGACCTCAACAGCAGTTCGATTCCCCGCTAAATTTAGCGGGGAATTGAATTGCTGTTGAGGTCACGTGGCATCAGTTTTTCAGCTAGATTTAGCAGGAAAACTGTGGGAGGGAGGGAGGCCATTGAGGAGGAGGGGGATGGGAGAATATGAGGAGGAGGAGGGTATGGTACAGAGGGGAAGGAGGAGGGGATGGTACAGAAAAAGAGGGGGAAAGGTACACAGGAGAAAGATGGAAGATGAGGAAGAGTAGGGGAGGAGGAGAAAAGGAGGGGAGCACAAGGACCAGAGGACGACGGGAGGGGGAGGGGCATACCCTCCCCTCCTCCTCAAGAGCTGCGCTCTAATTTTGCCTTACAGGGGATTGTATAAGCCTTTGATTTTTTTTTTTTTTTTGTTATCGGTCATGTGTGACATTTTTCTTATTGCAATGAAGTTAACCTTTTCATAATTATGTTTGTTGAAAAAACGTTCCAGTTGTTTTTTGATCGAGCATCCTCGTTTAATTCGTATCAAATAGAAAATATTTGTACTCAAAAATATTCAATTAAATTTTATTTGTAACCTTGTGATTCGATTCGCTTTGAAAGGTTTTGATATTCGTACACCTCTAGTGTCAGATTGTTACTCTACAATCATGTTTCACGAGATATCCTGGGTGGACTCTTGACATTCTTCGTCGCCCGCCAAATATACTATTGTTAGCTTTAGACTATCAGTGGCACTATAGTGATAGCTTTACGACACTAGCAAAAAATACCATATGAGTGCCCTCCCCACGAGAGATCGCCCATCCCGTTCTTCTGGCTTAATCTCCATAACATAAAAATTCCGAAACATGGCCCACCCCCCCCCGATTCCCGTCGGACTTCACGCGACGTCCGACGGTAAAGACATCAACTGCGCAGTCTGCCGTACTGGTATGTGAGACAGGCGAGGTCGCAGCAGGGTCCCCCGTTTTTGTCTATCTGCTTGTGCAATATCGGTTCCCGTGACATACGAGTTCATAGTGGATTCCCGAGTTTTTTGTCTGCAATCTGCGCGTACGATATCTGTTCCCATAGCATGCAAGTCTGCAGCAGGTTTCCGCTTGTTTATCGTCCCATGAAACGCGAATCTGCTGCATCCGCAATCTGCAGCGTCCTTTTCCGGGACACAGGAGCTCGTTGCGAATTCCTGCGTGTTTATCGCGTCGGACATCACGCGACGTCCGACGAGAGGGACATCAACTGCGCAATCTGCGGTATTGGTATGTGAGACAGGCGAGTTCGCAGCAGGGTCCCCTGTTTTTGTCTATCTGCGTGTGCAATATCGGTTCCCGTGACATAGGAGTTCATAGTGGATTCCCGAGTTTTTTGTCTGCAATCTGCGCGTACGATATCTGTTCCCATAGCATGAAATTCTGCAGCAGGTTTCCGCTTGTTTATCGTCCCATGAAACGCGAATCTGCTGCACCCGCAATCTGCAGCGTCCTTTTCCGGGACACAGGAGCTCGTTGCGAATTCCTGCGTGTTTATCGCGTCGGACATCACGCGACGTCCGACGAGAGGGACATCAACTGCGCAATCTGCGGTATTGGTATGTGAGACAGGCGAGTTCGCAGCAGGGTCCCCCGTTTTTGTCTATCTGCGTGTGCAATATCGGTTCCCGTGACATACGAGTTCATAGTGGATTCCCGAGTTTTTTGTCTGCAATCTGCGCGTACGATATCTGTTCCCATAGCATGCAAGTCTGCAGCAGGTTTCCACTCGTTTATCGTCCCATGAAACGCGAATCTGCTGCATCCGCAATCTGCAGCATCCTTTTCCGGGACACTGGAGCTCGTTGCGAATTCCTGCGTGTTTATCGCGTCGGACATCACGCGACGTCCAACGAGAGGGACATCAACTGCGCAATCTGCGGTATTGGTATGTGAGACAGGCGAGTTCGCAGCAGGGTCCCCCGTTTTTGTCTATCTGCTTGTGCAATATCGGTTCCCGTGACATACGAGTTCATAGTGGATTCCCGAGTTTTTTGTCTGCAATCTGCGCGTACGATATCTGTTCCCATAGCATGCAAGTCTGCAGCAGGTTTCCACTCGTTTATCGTCCCATGAAACGCAAATCTGCTGCATCCGCAATCTGCAGCGTCCTTTTCCGGGACACAGGAGCTCGTTGCGAATTCCTGCGTGTTTATCGCGTCGGACATCACGCGACGTCCGACGAGAGGGACATCAACTGCGCAATCTGCGGTATTGGTATGTGAGACAGGCGAGTTCGCAGCAGGGTCCCCCGTTTTTGTCTATCTGCGTGTGCAATATCGGTTCCCGTGACATACGAGTTCATAGTGGATTCCCGAGTTTTTTGTCTGCAATCTGCGCGTACGATATCTGTTCCCATAGCATGCAAGTCTGCAGCAGGTTTCCGCTTGTTTATCGTCCCATGAAACGCGAATCTGCTGCATCCGCAATCTGCAGTGTCCTTTTCCGGGACACAGGAGCTCGTTGCGAATTCCTGCGTGTTTATCGCGTCGGACATCACGCGACGTCCGACGAGAGGGACATCAACTGCGCAATCTGCGGTATTGGTATGTGAGACAGGCGAGTTCGCAGCAGGGTCCCCCGTTTTTGTCTATCTGCGTGTGCAATATCGGTTCCCGTGACATACGAGTTCATAGTGGATTCCCGAGTTTTTTGTCTGCAATCTGCGCGTACGATATCTGTTCCCATAGCATGAAAGTCTGCAGCAGGTTTCCGCTTGTTTATCGTCCCATGAAACGCGAATCTGCTGCATCCGCAATCTGCAGCGTCCTTTTCCGGGACACAGGAGCTCGTTGCGAATTTCTGCGTGTTTATCGCGTCGGACATCACGCGACGTCCAACGAGAGGGACATCAACTGCGCAATCTGCGGTATTGGTATGTGAGACAGGCGAGTTCGCAGCAGGGTCCCCCGTTTTTGTCTATCTGCGTGTGCAATATCGGTTCCCGTGACATAGGAGTTCATAGTGGATTCCCGAGTTTTTTGTCTGCAATCTGCGCGTACGATATCTGTTCCCATAGCATGCAAGTCTGCAGCAGGTTTCCGCTTGTTTATCGTCCCATGAAACGCGAATCTGCTGCATCCGCAATCTGCAGCATCCTTTTCCGGGACACAGGAGCTCGTTGCGAATTCCTGCGTGTTTATCGCGTCGGACATCACGCGACGTCCGACGAGAGGGACATCAACTGCGCAATCTGCGGTATTGGTATGTGAGACAGGCGAGTTCGCAGCAGGGTCTCCCGTTTTTGTCTATCTGCTTGTGCAATATCGGTTCCCGTGACATACGAGTTCATAGTGGATTCCCGAGTTTTTTGTCTGCAATCTGCGCGTACGATATCTGTTCCCATAGCATGCAAGTCTGCAGCAGGTTTCCACTCGTTTATCGTCCCATGAAACGCGAATCTGCTGCATCCGCAATCTGCAGCATCCTTTTCCGGGACACAGGAGCTCGTTGCGAATTCCTGCGTGTTTATCGCGTCGGACATCACGCGACGTCCGACGAGAGGGACATCAACTGCGCAATCTGCGGTATTGGTATGTGAGACAGGCGAGTTCGCAGCAGGGTCCCCCGTTTTTGTCTATCTGCGTGTGCAATATCGGTTCCCGTGACATACGAGTTCATAGTGGATTCCCGAGTTTTTTGTCTGCAATCTGCGCATACGATATCTGTTCCCATAGCATGCAAGTCTGCAGCAGGTTTCCGCTTGTTTATCGTCCCATGAAACGCGAATCTGCTGCATCCGCAATCTGCAGCGTCCTTTTCCGGGACACAGGAGCTCGTTGCGAATTCCTGCGTGTTTATCGCGTCGGACATCACGCGACGTCCAACGAGAGGGACATCAACTGCGCAATCTGCGGTATTGGTATGTGAGACAGGCGAGTTCGCAGCAGGGTCCCCCGTTTTTGTCTATCTGCGTGTGCAATATCGGTTCCCGTGACATACGAGTTCATAGTGGATTCCCGAGTTTTTTGTCTGCAATCTGCGCGTACGATATCTGTTCCCATAGCATGCAAGTCTGCAGCAGGTTTCCACTCGTTTATCGTCCCATGAAACGCGAATCTGCTGCATCCGCAATCTGCAGCATCCTTTTCCGGGACACAGGAGCTCGTTGCGAATTCCTGCGTGTTTATCGCGTCGGACATCACGCGACGTCCGACGAGAGGGACATGAACTGCGCA